TTGCCCAAACCTCATATGCGTGGGATCTTTTTGAGGCTACCCCTTTTTGAGTGAAAGCCAGGTTCCTAACAGAAACCCACAATAGGAATGTTGCCCCAAAAGCACGTGGCAAGAAACTTGGGGGTCGTCTTAACCCTGTTGTTTGCCACAGGGCCACAACCGAAGGGCAACCACCTGTAGGGGGGCCTTGATTTCGAGATCCAATGTCCCAGTTCAAATTCATTTCAAGTTGGCAACCGGTGTGTCAATGATTGAACGAGCTACATCATTGTGACGCGTGGGCGGGCCCATATCCTCCCCAATGATCATCCCCCCACGCACATTGTCTTCCAGCAGGGACTTCCTCTCAGCTGCATAAGCGCTGCAGGGTCTCAAAATGTCCCCGCCAAAAATCCCGAACAAGGCAGTAACCAAACTTGCACACGGGGGGCAGGGATGAAAAAGAGCCGTAGATGGGGTTCAAGATCCGCACACTCGTCAAATCCGTGTGCGCTTGCCAGTGCACGTGACTCGAAGAACTCACGCAGCCCGCCCTTCCCGCCTGCTGCGATCCTGCCGTTGACATCCTGCCAGGAGCTCGCTTCAAAATCAATTGCCATGCAGCTACTAGCGTGTTGTCACCCAGTCACGAATCTCATCCACATCCCTGTGAGCTGCTGCCGGAGAAAAAAGACCAAAAAAAAAAACACTGGGGCGGGGGTTGAGGGGTTGGGGGCCCAGGGGCCCCGGTAAAGTAGCGCAGCCCGCAGCCCTTTCCCCCCGCCTCCGAGAGCGCCTGGATCTCCGCACGCAGGGAGCTGGTGTCCGCCCGGAACTCCGAGGTCGCCTTCGAGCGGTGGACAGGACGCCTCAAAGCCCCTGGTCAGGCAGGGGAGTTTCAAGTGGAACCACGAGGAAACCGGCCACTTTACCGTTGTTTTTTTTGCTTTATTATCTATTTATTATCTATCTATGAACTATTTATTATTATTAATAATGTTACTACTGTTATTATCATCATTATTTTGAATAACATTGTTATTTTTATTTTTCGGCGGGGGTCGAATTTTGAAAAAAAACTTATAGATTCTCACGTGAGCAACTGTGAAGGTGTCCAAGGGGAATTGGATGAAGGAACCCGGTTGAGTGGGTGATAAATGGATGATTCCGTCGGCGAAACAGGGAGCACTAGCCAGGATTAATAGTTGAAGGAGTACTTTAGGTGTCTCTTCAAACAGCAGCTCCTTTAAAAAGGTGGCTGGCTCCAAACAAAAGGAAATAGCCAGCGGAACTTAGGAAAAGCATGACTCTCCTGCTTACTCCAGAGAACCACTTGCTCCCATCAAACACCACAAACAGCCACGAAATGTCCCAATCGTTTGCCACCTTTGTCCAACCCTGTTCCCAAATCGTTGTCAACTTGTTCCCAGATTCTGGGAAATCTGAGGGAACTAGACTCCTGATGCGATCTTCCGTTCTTCCACCGATTTTCCTGAAGAATCTGGGCATGTTCTCGACCTGATTCTTGTAGGATTTAGCAGCCTTGAAAAGAGCGACTGAAAGAAATACACCCCCAGTTGATTCCAGAAGGGGCAGTGGGCCCAATGACGACGAAGCCCTTCGCCGGTCGGCGGGCTTCCCGAACTGAAAGATGGCACTGAAAGACTTCTGATCTCTGGCGGCTGGCCCAAGCAGCACCCTTCCTTTTTGCCCATGAGCGGCTATCCCTAGAAGAGAAGAATCCCTACAAGGCAGGACACTCCCTGCCTCTGCTTCCGACCCACGAAAAGTAATCTTCTCAGATGCTTGCTCCATTCTTAACAAGCCTCAAAGAAATATAGAACTAGACGACGGGTGGCCCGGAAGCAAAGCAACACGTTAAATCAACTCTGACGCTTCCCCCGCCGCATGAGAAACAATGAAACTATTTTTGTTCTAAACAAAGTTACCATTTGCAATTCGGAGCTGCGTGAATACTCTTCGCATGTTGCTTGCATGCTTGAAACTTGCGTTTTTAGCCGGAGCTGCGGGAATGCGTTTCGCGTGCTACTTTTGTACTCAAAACTTGCGATCTTAAATCCTGAGCTGCGCTGCTCTTCGCGTGGTGGTGGCACTTTGCGTGCTACTTTTGTGCCCAAAACTTGCGATTTTGCAGCCAGAACTGCGGCAGCACAGTTTCCGCACTATATTCTTGTACTTGAGAATTGCTGTTCTTGGGCCAGAGCCATGGGAATGCACTTCGCGTTCTATTCTTGCACTTAAAACTTGCCGGAAATGCACTTCGCGCACTACTTTTGTATTTAGAAATTGCGGTTTGCAGCCGGAGTTCTGGGGGTGCTCTCTCTTGACGTAGAAGTTGCGAAGTTCGAGCCGGAGATGCGGGAGTGCGCTTCGCGTTCGAGCTGGAGTTGCGGGAGCGCGCTTCGTGTGCTACTTTTGTACTTACAAATTGCGATTTTGCAGCCGGAGCTCTGGGAATGCTTTTCGCGCGTTACTTTTGCACTTTAAACGTGCAAGCTTTCAGCCGGAGCTGCGGGAATGTACTTTGCGTACTACTTTTGTACTTGAGAGTTGCGATGTTCGAGCTGGAGCTGCAGGAGCGCGCTTCACGTACTACGTCTTATGTAGATGGAGCGATTGCGCACCAGGAGCTGTGGGAGTGCGCTTCGTGCAGTACGTTTGTACTTAAGATTTGCGATTTTGCGCCAGATTCTTCGCACACTACTTTTGTAGACCAAAAATGCAATTCGTGAGCCAGAGCCACGGGAATGAATGTACTTCGCGCGCTACTGTTGTACGAAAAATTGCAATTTTCAATCCTGAGCTGCAATGCTCTTCGCGTGCTGCTTGTGTATACTTGAAACTTGCGAGTTCAGCCGGAGCTGCGTGAACGCACTTTGCGTGGTACTTTTGTACTCCAAAGTTTCCATTTTCCAGCCAGAGCTGCGGGAGCACAGTTTCCGCACTATACTTTGGTAATTGAGAATTGTTATTCTTGAGCTGGAGCTGGCGCGGACCAGGGAGGAATCGAAACCCGCGACGCCGCGATTGCGAAAGCAGCGCGCAAACCACGAGACCTTTCAAAGACTATTCGAGCAGCAAGAAAAAACGAACAGCGCCACAGTGAGAGCGCTTCGACACGCACGACCTCCGCAGAGGGTTCGCCGCGGTCAAAACAAATTCGCACGGCGTCACAACGAGAGCGCTTCGACACGCACGATCTCCGCAGAGGGTTCGCCGAGGTCAAGACAAACTTCGCACGGCTTCGACACGCACGATCTCCGCAAAGAGTTCGCCGCGGTCAAGTTCGCACAGCGTCACAGCGAGAGCGCTTCGACACGCACAATCTGCGCAGAGGGTTCGCCGCGGTCAAGACAAATTCGCACGGCGCCACAGCGAGAGCGCTTCGACACGCGCGATCTCCGCAGAGGGTTCGCCGAGGTCACGACAAATCCGCACGGCGTCACGGCGAGAGCGCTTCGACACGCACGATCTCCGCAGAGGGTTCGCCGAGGTCGAGACAAATCCGCACGGCGTCACAGCGAGAGCGCTTCGACACGCACGATCTCCGCAGAGGGTTCGCCGCGCTCGGGACAAATTCGCACGGCGCCACGGCGAGAGCTCTTCGACACGCACGATCTCCGCAGAGGGGTACGTTTTGTAACCTCCCGTCGGGCCTACCCCCGCCAGGAAAAGAAGAAGACTTAAGAGTCAAGAAGTGAAGGTACAAAAGAAAAGTTAGCTTGTGTTTTTAGGATAAGTGAAGTAACACCCGAAAAGTCAGCTTGTGCTTTTAGGATAATGAGATAACATCCGAAAAGTTGACATGAGAAGTTGGCTGGTGAAGTAACTATCGAAAAGTTGGAATGAGAAGTTTGCAGGTGACATAACTCTCGAAAAGTTGGCATGAGAAGTTTGCAGGTGAAGTTTGCAGCCGCTAGAAGAAGAACCCTTCGCAATGCTTCCGGGAAAAAAACATGGTATATCCTTTGGGCTTCCCTTAGGAAGAGCCACCTAAGACGGGGACCTCCACAAAGGGAGCCACCGAAAACGGGGAAGAAACGAAACAAAGCGGTCGCCTCATCCAGGCGCGAGGGCAGGTGCTCCAGGGACTCGTTCACCCGCGAGGCCAGGATCTCCATCGTGGCCAGCGCCTGAGCTGAACCCAGCGACGAGCCCTCGGCAAAAACCAAAAGTTGCAACCTGTGGCCACAAAAAATGTCGATCACTTCAAAAGCCCACGGAAAAAATATGAAGCACTGCAACAAGGCCACGGGAAAACGACAAAAGCAGCTAACCCTGGGCAAAAAACAAAAAACGTTGCGAGCTATTGCCACGAAAGGGAAAAAATCAAGCACCTTGAAAGGAAACCAACAAAAAAAATCGAAGCACCTCAGAAGGAGATGAAAACTTGGAGTTGCGGCCCTTTGCCTGGTTGGTTGACAACCCTCCTTTAAGAAAATGCCACTCCCCATGCGCTCGAATCACAATTGGAATTCGACCGAAATCAACCTTCGGAACGGGCAAATCTGCCACGACATGCACCAGTCACCGGTCATGCCCCATCAGTTCCACCGGAAGTCCCAAACAAGGAAACAGCCATGAATCAAGGAATCTACCCGAAAAAGGCGGAAAGCTTGTCGCTGCCGAGGAACTGTCCCCTAGCCTGCATATGTTGATGGCGGCCAAGGTGGAGGCTTACCGCCATCTTCAAGGGGAGTCCAAAAGGATCAATCAACATGTTGGGTTGACGGGGGGGGTTGGCCCGGGGTGGGGTAGGGTGGGGTGGGGTGGGGTGGGGTGGGGATGATAGTGTTCATGAGATGGGAGGTGACCGCTTTTTGGGGTGGGGTGGGGTGGGGTGGGGTGGGGATGATAGCGTTCATGAGATGAGAGGTGACCGCTCTTTGGGGTGGGGTGGGGTGGGGTGGGGTGGGGTGGGGTGGGGTGGGGTGGGGTGGGGTGGGGTGGGGTGGGGTGGGGTGGGGTGGGGTGGGGGGTGGGGTGGGGTGGGTGGGGTGGGGTGGGGTGGGGTGGGGTGGGGTGGGGTGGGGTGGGGTGTGGGGTGGGGTGGGGTGGGGTGGGGTGGGGTGGGGTGGGGTGGGGTGGGGTGGGGAGGGTGGGGAGGGGGGGGGGGGGGGTGTGGCGGTGGGGGTGGGGTGGGGAGGAGGGCTACATCGTGGGGTGAACGTTCTTGAGAGGTGACCGCTGGGGGGGTGGGGTGGGGTGGGGTGGGGTGGGGTGGGGTGGGGTGGGGTGGGGTGGGGTGGGGTGGGGTGGGGTGGGGTGGGGTGGGGTGGGGTGGGGTGGGGATGATAGCGCTCATGAGATGAGAGGTGACCGCTCTTGGGGTGGGGTGGGGTGGGGACGATAGCGTTCATGTTCGGCTGGGGTTAATGCAGGATTGCTTTGTAACGTGCTCGCACCTTCTTGAGTGCTCAGGCAGATGGAGTCTGCAGGTTTAGCTTTGGTCATACTACTTCGTTTGGCGAAGGTATCGCCCATTCCGTTCTTGCGAGAGTGGTGGCATGAAGATGTGCGGTATGTGGATGCTCTACACCAGATTTGCTGCAACGCGATCAACCCGGACCCGACCGGGCCGGCAGTTCGAGAAGTCATGCTGCAGATTCCCAGGCTAGACTTCGAAAGGAACGTTGGGCCTCCACCTGGACTTGTTTTCTGTGGTAGGCTCAGGACTCATCCTTGTGGTGTTTAGGTTGACAGTGCTTTGGGGCTTGTCGGAACCCCACCCAATCAAAGCAAAACACGGAGGCATGTACGTATATATATATATATATAGATATAAATATGTATATATATATATATATATATTGATTTATATATACATATATGTCTATATATATATATATATTTATATATACATACATACATATATATATATATATATATGTATATATATATATATACATATATACATATATATATATATATATTTATTTATTTATATTTGTTTATATTTATACGTCCGCTGATTAAAAAAAACGTGGAACTGTCACGGCATCGTACTCCAGTTGTTATCTCGGGTACGCGAAGTTGCAGGGTTTGGTAAGCGACATTCCTGGGAGGCATGCGTGAAAATGCAGTGATTCGTGGCACATTTGAGCACCTGTTCAATGCGACGCACTTTCAACTCGCCATCGTCCTGGGCCAACCCCCCCCGGCAACCCAACATGTTGTCAACCCTCCATTTGGGTTGTGGGCTGTTCAAAGGGGACAAGGTGGCCAACCAGTGCCCGCCTCCTGCATGTTGATGCCGGCACCTGTCATCCCACGAAAAAGGAACCAACGGAACGGCCGCCTACCACCCCCCGACTGCTTGCTCCCATGTCCAAGCCCTTGTGTCCAACAAGCTATCCTTGGAGGTGCTGCGCCCCAAACACCACTCGCCCAATGTCATCCACTGCCGAATGTTGCCCAACAATCAGGACAAACAGGACAGGCGCGCCCCATCTGCTGGAACCTGCACTGCTGGGGGACCAAAATATGTTGCTGTAGAAAACTTTGTTTAATGGCAGAATCCCAGCACAGTGAAAATTTATGGCGCTCAACAGAAGCGGAGATTCCCACATCGCAACCTGGCAAAAGCCTCAGAAAATAGACCCCTCATTCCCTACTGTGCCAAACCAGGGATTGATCCCTTGAAGCCTGCTAGTGGAAAATCGCGGTGCTATTTCGGTCGAATCAAAGAGCCACCAGTTGACAAGGGGGTTTTCAAAATGGGGATCATGCTTGGTGCAGTTCGAAGGAACGCCAAGAGGTTGCTTCCTATGTTGAAGAGCACCCAAGGCCAAACGCCCTGGCGCCCAAACGCCAAACCAACAGCCCGCCTTGATCGGCTGCCTGAGTCGAAACTGACAGCGGGGATAGTAGTTGACGTGCGGGATCGCGGGAAGGGGCGGGATGGGGGGAACGTGACGTGCGCTGACGCGCGGGACCTCTCGCGGGAGCGGGGGACAGTACCTGACGCGCCAGATTGGGATAGGGGGTACATCCCGCACGCGCCCGCGGGATCGTCATAGACCTGACGCACGAGCGGGGATTTGGGTTTGAAAAACGGGGGAGCCTCTCTTGCATGGATTGAAAAGGGCAGCCAGCAGAAAACAACCACTTGCAGAAGCATCTAATCAGAAAAGTCTCATGGCATAATTTCCAACTACTACTTTTACAACCGTATGAACCAGAAAAGGAAGTTGGACACTCATGCGAGGTAAACAACTTAGGTTTTGCACCTAGACCGTGGCAAATACTTCCTTGCGAACTAGGATCGAACCCAAAAAGGGCCCCCCAAAAGATAATTCCTCCAACAAAAAGATGTTTCAGTTCGATGCCTGTCTGCATGGGGGGGGACGGGGGGGGGAACGGGGGAAGGCCAAACACCGCTTCCTGCACTGTTCTGTGGGTCCATTCCCAGAAGGAGAAAAAGGTGAATGTGCCGATGCCTGAAGTACCACCAAGAGCGGCTTTTCAGATCCCTCTTGGCTTCCCGTTGCAAACACAAAAACTGGGCTTCGGAGACACCCCAACCATTCCAAAGCACTCAGTGGTTAAGCATTGTTTCCGGCATTTTGCCCCTTTCTGCGCATCCTTGACCCTGATTGGAAACCGAAAAGACAACAAGTTCCCATAGCAGCCGACGACCGGGGTGGGGAAATCCCCAGCAAGTGATCTACATCGTGAAATGGGTTCAACCTCTGGTACTCAGCCGGAACATGATATATCCATGGACAACAGTTGGTTCAGAGTCCAACTGTCAAAGCCCAACCCAACCAGGCCAAACCCGGGGACCCTCCCCCCGGTCTCGAAAGATCCGCTTGGGCTTCCCCCGCCGCAGGCAGGGTGGCCACCGAGGACACCAAGGAGCCCCCTCCGATCGACAGCTGGGTCCGGGAGGCTTCCCGCCGAACCAAAACCAAAACCCCACCTTTGAGAACCCGAAAACCGCCGAAAACACGACAGGGGTCAGCTGCTTTCGTCCCCTAAGAAAAACGACAGCCGTTTGTGAAAACACCGGAATCGCAGATCGAACAAGTTTTTTGGTTGAGTCCCTGGAGTGCCAATGGTCTCTGAGTCTTGTAATAAAGGGACCCTGCCGAAAAAATCCAATCTATCCCCCGCCAAACACCTTGCAAGGCATTGGTGAATCATGTGGGCATGTCTTAAAGAAGAGCTCCCCGAAAAAAGAAAACAAAAAACAAAAAGGACAAAACAAAAAGTGTTTCCGCTTGCATGTCCAAAGAAAGCAACCCTTCAACAGGTGGCCTCCAAAACAGGCACGCCCATGTTGGCTTTCCTTCAAGCCTTTTAATGGGCCCAAAAGCGGAAAAGTTCCAAAGCGGAAACCAAAGGAGCTCCGAATCTCTGCCGTTTGAAACGACAGCGACCTTGCGCTAAGCGCCGGCCTGGGCTCCGCGGCGCGTCCTGGCCCAATCCCGCAGTCCGATTCGGGACCCGGAACCAGCCAGCCAAGGCCTGCCTCAAAGACTTCAGACCTTCAGACTTCCGGCTTTGGTTTAGGAGGGAAGGAAAAAGAGAAAGTCCCCTGAGCTCTGGGCCCGAACTTTCCATACGATTTCGACCATGCGCGCAGATGCGCACGGGGACATGCGCCTCCTCACCAGGCTGGAACGTAGGCATCGCCTGCACAAGGGACAGCACCCTTGCCAATTTCCCAAGCGCTCGCCAAATTCCCGCAAGATGCCTTCTGCCAAGAGCTCATCCATGCCGCCTTCAGCAAATCCATCATTTTCTCGAGAAGCCCGCTCGCGAGTGAAAGCAAACAAGCAGGGGAGGGAACAAAGATTAGAATAAGCAGCTTAGCAAAAATCGAGGAGAGTATGCTCTGATTAGACAAAACCGCTGGTACATGTGTTTTTGAAAACAAAAAAGAATGTCAAATCAAATACTACATGCTCTGCCTCCAGGGAAATCGACTCGATAGAGCTTGCTCCTTTCAATCTGGCCTACGTCAACATTGTGGCCCGAAGTGAAAAAACGAAAAGAAGCTGAAAAAGGCCTGTTCTGCTGACTGAGCTCCGAACAAAAATCACCGACCCGACCCGATCAATTGATAGTGCCCCAAGCACGGACATGACAAAGGCAAACGAAGAAGAAGAATCACAAGAAGAAGAAACATGCTCATCATCGTCAACCTAGCCCTCATCATGCTCATCCTTGTCATTCTCATCATCCTCATCCTCATCCTCATCCGCACCATCATCATCATCATCATCATCATCATCATCATCATCATCATCATCATCATCATCATTACCACAACCATCATCATTATAATCATCATCATCATCATCATCATCATCATCATCATCATCATCATCATCATCATCATCATCATCATCATCATCATCATCATCATCATCATCATCATCATCATCATCATCATCATTACCACAACCATCATCATTATAATCATCATCATAATCATCGTCTTCATCACCCACATCACCCCGCCTGCCAAAGCTGGTTTCCCACTGGCATGTTGGGCACCACGCCCCTGACCTGCCAAAAGCAGGGGCTCTTGTTCGGAGTTCGGAGAGCACTTTTTTGGGGATCAACAGGGAAAGAGAAAGGGAACCCACCAATTCTGGGGTCATTTGAAGACCAACTCGTATTCATGTCCAGGGACCTATCGTAAGCACCCGACTCATCAAGAACTGCAGAGGGATCAAAAACACGCAGGGGCGGAAGCTTGCGGGTTCACTCGAGAAAGGGCTGCCTCTTGCATTTCTCCCATTGCCGGTTGGTGAAAAAATGCCTTTTGAATGTTGAAACGGAAAGTCAAGCAGAAACCCAAACACACAAGGGTCCGTCTCAAGATGATGATACCCAAAAAATGGAGCCCCGGTTCCTGCTTGCCTCCCCGTCAGAACCAGCCGTGAACAGGGAACCAACTCCAAAAAGGCTCACCTAAAAAGCGTTCCGCGTATTGCTCAGTGGGTTCCGAACCCTGCGAAGAAGAAAAACAAACTCACCTGGTTGAAACCACCCTTAAACAAGGATCCTTACATTATACACCTGAACGTTCCCTTGTAAATGGTGGTTTCCCTTTATTTTGGTGTTGAAAAAGCCAGCCATGTGTCAAATGGCAAGGCAAAATGGAGATCTTTTCTTCGGAGCCCTGTTCAATCCAGAGAACTTGAAGGGAACGCTCCTTCCAGGACTGAGGGCCATAAATGTCCCATCTCCGCCTGATGAGTGGTGGGGCTGGCCACCGATCTCCCAGGCTGGCCTGACCGCAAGCCAAAGGTGTCCCTTGCTGGTGATGGCTGTTTGTTGCGTCATTGTTGTGCGTTCGTTCTTTTTTATTATCCGTTCGTTCGTTTGTCGGTTGGTGTGAAATCGCTTTTGTTTGTCCGTTATGTTTGTTTGTTTGTTAGTTTTGTGTTGTTTTGTTTTGCTTTGTTTATGTTTTCTTTCCTTGCTCGCCTGCTGACTTGCTTGCCTGCTGGCTTGCTTGCCTGCCTGCCTGCCTGCCTGCCTGCCTGCTTGGTTGCTTGGTTGCTTGGTTGCTTGGTTGGTTGGTTGGTTGGCTGGCTAACTGACTAACTCGCTGGCTGGCTGCTTGTTTGGTTGGTTGGTTCTTTGTATTGCTAATTGATCGGTTGGCAGGTTGGGTTTCTTGGCTTTGGCTGGCTGGTTTTGGTTGGTTTCGGCTGGCTGGCTCTGCTTGCTTGCGTGCTTGCTTTACTTCTTGCTTACTGTTGGTTTCTTTCATTATTGATTTATTTCTTTCTGTACTTCCTTCCTTTCTTCCTTTCTTCCTTTCTTCCTTTCTTCCTTCTTCCTTTCTTCCTTTCTTCCTTTCTTCTTTTCTTCCTTTCTTCCTTTCTTCCTTTCTTCCTTTCTTCCGTTCTTCCGTTCTTCCGTTCTTCCTTTCTTCCTTCCTTTCTTCCTTTCTTCCTTCCTTTCCTTCCTTCCTTCCTTCCTTCCTTCCTTCCTTCCTTCCTTCCTTCCTGCCTGCCTGCCTGCCTGCCTGCCTGCCTGCCTGCCTGCCTGCCTTCCTTCCTTCCTTCCTTCCTTCCTTCCTTCCTTCCTTCCTTCCTTCCTTCCTTCCTTCCTTCCTTCCTTCCTTCCTTCCTTCCTTCCTTCCTTCCTTCCTTCCTTCCTTTCCTTCTTTATTTACTTATTTATTACTTTCTGTCTTTCTGTCCTTCTTTTTTCGTTCTTTTGTTCTTTCTTGTGTTCGTTCTTTCGTTCTTTCTTTGTTGCTGACTGTATGTCTTTCTTTATTGCTTTATTTCTTGTATTGCTTCGTTCTTTGTTATGTCTTTCTTTATTTCTTTCTTTCTTTCTTTCTTTCTTTCTTTCTTTCTTTCTTTCTTTCTTTCTTTCTTTCTTTCTTTCTTTCTTTCTTTCTTTCTTTCTTTCTTTCTTTCTTTCTTTCTTTCTTTCTCTTTCTTTCTTTCTTTCTTTCTTTCTTTCTTTCTTTCTTTCTTTCTTTCTTTCTTTCTTTCTTTCTTTCTTTCTTTCTTTCTTTCTTTCTTTCTCTCTCTCTTTCTTTCTTTCTTTCTTTCTTTCTTTCTTTCTTTCTTTCTTTCTTTCTTTCTTTCTTTCTTTCTTTCATTATTTCTTTCTTTCTTTCTTTCTTTCTTTCTTTCGCTCTGTTGTTCCTTCTTTGTTCTTTTCTTTGCTTCTTTATTTGCTTATGTCCTTTGTTCTTTCGTTCTTTGTTTCCTCCTTTCTTTCTTTCTTTCTTTCTTTCTTTCTTCCTTCCTTCCTTCCTTTCTTTCTTTCTTTCTTTCTTTCTCGTTCTTTGTGTCTGTGTCTGGGTGGCTTGTCTGTGTGTGAGTGGGCTCGCCTCAAAATAACCCCCCTTCTCCTCCCCAGCCAAACAAAAAGAATCTTTTTCGCTCCCTTGAAAGCACCCCTCCCCCCCAGGACACACTCACGAACACCGCAGCCTGTTGATGGCGGTTTTCTGACCTTGCGTAAAGCAAATACTAATAGTAATGACAATGATAATAATAATAATAATAATAATAATAATAATGATAATGAGAATGATAATAATGATAATGATAATGATAATAATAATAATGATAATAATAATAATAATAATAAGGCACCACAAGCGCTGATACGACGAAAGGCAAATCGGCCAGAAGGTTGGAACCGGTTGGGACCGTCCAAAAAGAGCACTGAACCGGGAGCCAACTCCCGGTGTTCCAAGTGGCCGCTCAAACGCTGGAGCGGAGAACCACACAGTTGGGATCCTAAAGTCCTCCTGTCGGGTGTGTACTTCGACCATCTGTTCACTCCACAGGTGTGCCCCGCAAGTCTGTATACTTATTCAGAAGCCCTTTTAAATGCTGGGTTTCCTTTGGCCTCTCTTGAAACTATGCTGGACATGCCGAAGGTTGGACCCCCAGCCCCTTTAAACCTGCAGAACGCAGGTTCCTCCCCACTCTTCCAACATGCCGGCCGGCCCTAGGCCCCAGGTCGCGCCGAAACAGCACTGCAAGTTGAAAATGTGGCTTGTGGATTCTCGTTTCATCGCAACCCGGGGGGAATTTCTTTTGCGGACGCTCCCCATAAAAAGGAAAGAGGCTGAGATTCCTTCCTCTTTCCCACCTCAATCAGGCCAAACCCCTTTGGTGAGGTTGTTGCAAACAGCAAAACGCCCTGGGCTTGCGCACCACCCTTCGCCGTTTCAATGCCGGTGCTCAGGGAATGTGAAATGGAATGAACCCAATCTGTTGGTCCCCTTTAAATAGATATATATATATATATATATAAAGTCATTCCCTGAGAACCAGCAGATTCGAAGCCCAACCGACCAGTTGGATGGCTTTTCTCTTGGGCTCATTCCCTGTTTTTCCCAAACGGAACCACCCAAAAAAAGGGGGTCCCCTGCCAGGAGCTGGGTCGAAACCCATGCCCTCCCCTGAACGGAACCACCAGTTGGATGGCAAGAAAAAGGGGGTCATTTTGTTGAGAACCCGCTTCGAAACCCCGAAGCTGACCCACCTGGCGGGGTCCGCTGCTGCCAGTGCCCGAGGCCAGCCGGGCCGGGCCCGTTCGGGGGCCCCGGGCGCACGAACATGGGACGCGAAGGGCCCTGGCACAGGGAAAAAACGCCAGCTGACTCGACCAAACGAACTGGAAGCAAACTTGTCCCGCCAAAACCCTCGATACGCCTGGGGAACTCCGTTTTTTCACAACTCCTCAAAACAATGGGTACGCGATAAAAACCACCCATACTAACATCTAAGGGACCAAAGGTTAAAGTGGCGGTAAGATGGCCGCGTCAATTTGAACAGGGTAAAAGGCGCCTAAGATTCGGCCAGTCGTTTCGATCCCCTTGGAGAGTTTGTGCTAGAGCCCCTGAGTTGAAGTACGTTTGCACCAGCATTTGTTGGTGATCTCCAGGTCAAATGACGCTTGCTTATTTGGCTTGATCAAGAACCACCTCAAACTACCAATCCAAATTGCCAAGCTGAGATAGATCAAAACCATCCAAGCCGGGAAAGCGGCCGAACTGAGTTTTTGCAAACAAGTCCAACCTAACATCTTCGGAGCTTATAAGGAGATGAGCAAAAAAGATCTCCGACTGGCAACTGTTTTTGTCACAGCGACACCAAATGAAATGATGTAGCCAACCCTCCGACACTTGGCCCCAAGGCCCAGAGACAGGAGCGACAAGTCACAAGCTGATGTTGGCATGGGTTCTATCACTGCTGGCCGGTTAGCATTCCGGTCCTTCCTGGCCCTTCTTGCAAACCAAGAATTCAAAAACGTGAATTAAAGCGTCGGCTGCCATCAGCATGCAAAAACCCGAACTTGGCGGAATAGCCTGCATCATCCCATTGCGTTTGTTTGAGCCAACACTTCCACTGTCGCACAACTATGCAGCTTGACATGTGTGTGGGCAATTCAAGAACATGATGATGGTAGCATGGTCTGCAGCTCCAACATGATGAGCGCTCAAGAGCTGACCGACAAACCTGTTCATTGCCAATTGGCTTGGCACAGTGCTGAAGGGCACAGCGCAAACAAGTGTTCACCCCAGGTCATCACTGTTCAGCCACAGGTCAAATGTTGCAACACATCCTAGTTTGTCGCAAGTTGAGCGTTTGTTGTGTACGTTCCAGTACGATGTGCGTGAGCTAGATTGGTTTTATCCACTTTGCAGGCAAGCAAAACGCAAGGTCCAAACAACAAGAACCAAAAAAAAAGAACCCCCAAGTCAACAAATTGTCTAACTCCAGGAAGCTTCCCACATATAACAGTTGCAGAGGGTCTTTTTGCTTACAAATGTGTTCTGGCGGAGGTGCCAAAATGCAAGAGTTGCACTCCGAACTCTGAACCCAAACAATGCAACGTACGACGCCGCAAAACCAAGACAGCGCGTGCGAAGCAGCCCAAGCATGGTACCGGTTGTTGCGCCTTTGCAACTGCGCCAACATTCCACGGTGACTGCCAAAAAACGTTGATGGGCAATTCCAAAATCAGGTTATGTTTGTCCCAAAACGGAAGCACCATCCAGTCTTGTTTTCGGCACCGACTGCAACCACTAAAAACATGTTCAACAATCTACGATTGATTGAACTGCGCTATGACCCAAAAACAGACCCAAAAAAATGAAAAGCCGAATCTAATGGTTCGCATCCAGACACGTCGACTTCTGTCAAGATCCTCAATTGCGATCTTTCTGAGGAAGCACGTTTTGCCTGAAAGCAAACAGATTCCAAAAAAGACACCACCCGCCAGACGTGTATGACTTTGATTTGCTGAGGAACCCGTCTTTCGTTTTGTTTCGTTGGGGGTTCCTTGTTGTTGTTTTGCTTTTTCTTTGTGTTGGATCGGGTTTCCTTTTGTCTTCTTTTGATTAGTTGCTCGGTGCTGAAACAGAGGATCTGCGTGATCGCGATTGGCCGCACGGATCAAACAAATGTGCACTCGAAGCCTACAGTCGATCGTCTATTCAATCTACTGCCTGAAACTGCGGATCCGCGTCATTGCAAGTGGCCGCTCGTAGAAAAAAGACAACGTGCCGGCGGGTCGCCATCTTTCCGGACATTGTTTGCAAATCACGTTGCCAGTCGACAATTCCATGCTGGTACACTTGCGTAGGCGTGTTTGAGGTGCAGAGTGACAATTCGGTTTGAGTTTGGACCTGTGTGTGTGTGGGTTTTCCAGGGAGACGGAAGCCTCAACCAGGCGAAAGAAGAAAAATGCTCAAGGAGAACAAAATACCAAGCTTGACTGTACCACGCTCGCGTTCGCTGTGAACAAACATGGTAATGACGAGCCCAGGATGTCTTCGAAAAACCTAGCGTCATCAAATGTGCCCAATAGAGCTATATACGCCGCGCTCACTCGTGTGTATGAAGGAAACCCCAAGGTCAGGGCCAATCCAAAAACAATGCAAATCTCATCTACGACTTGTCCTGCCATCGTCAAAAGCCAGGTCACATTGTAGACCGTGCAACCAAGGACCACCGCCGTCAAATGTGAATCGGAAGCGACCCCGCAGTACGCCAGAATTGCCGAAAATACAGTGCTTGCAGCCCGCACAAAATCCCATAGTGTGACCACACAACTTGCAGGCCAAAAACGTCTGCACGTAGCCAGGCCCGAAATGGAAAGTATGCCGAAAGCGTCAAGATCAATCGCTGCTCAGAAGTCCAGGCTCGAGGATGCCGGAGGGACGACAATGCGTGTCTACCCCTTTTGCATGCGGAGCCTGCACAAATACCCCCAAAGTTAGCAACGCGTGTTCAACCTGTTCACAGGGTCTGTTACCCAGGGGTGTGAAACATGACTGGAGGCATTGTGACATGCCGGAAGCAACGCGTGCTTCTTTTCGCAGCGGGACCAGTGGTTGGTCCTGCTGCGCGGCGTTTACACGAAGCAACGCGTGCTCTCGTGTAAGAGGCCGAGGAACGCGTCCTCTCTGCCGGACTGAATCCGAAGGGACGTGCTGGAGGAAGCGTCCTCGCATGTGCCCTTGCAGCCACTTAGGTGGTAGAAGCAGCTGGCGTAATGGAAAAGCATGCAAGAAAGAAGCAACATGGGGCAAGGTGCTAACTACGAAAGTCCCAACATATGTTGCCCTGACAGCAACCGAGTGGTTGCCATCTGCCAGCGCAGGCAAGCGTCGTCCAACTGTACGCATACCTTTGCTGGCTGCTTCGACAAGGGCTGTATTGCCTTTGGCACGCTTCCAACCATCAGGCGCAAGGCCAAAACGACCATGGAGGATGAGCCCAAGTTGGGTGGTGCAGGCTGATGACACGCGCGCCGTACCCAATGTCATCCAGCACCCAAAGTTGCTGGTCCGAGAGGGGACAGTTAGTGACCATAGCAGTTTTGGCCTTGCACTTGCAGTTTAAGTACAATGATAGCAGCGGACAAGACAGCCATGGGTCAGCAGGGGCCGGGTTTGCCCGTGGCAGTTGAGGAGAAGTGACAAATTTGCTGCACACGGCCCACAAGCTATGACCCCGCTGCAAGGAGGGGATGGAAAGAAGAGCGGCAGGGTCGACAGTTCCAGCGCAGCGCGAAACCCCAGAAGCAGTTGCGGTCGAGGACCTGAAAGCCGGCAGAGTGAACAGCTGCGTAAACTGAACGGACTTCACGTAGCCAGGCAAACTCAGAATCGACCACACCTGCAGCGGTGCAATCGTCCACGTATCCTTCAACCCCAATCAACCGAGGGATTTGGTGAGGGTGCCAATATATAGGATCCATTGCTACACAGAAGACAAAGACAGAGAAGGCCCGACCCATGTCAACCCCTTGCTTGCTGACCCTCGGAGGCAGGAGTTGCCCCTGTACCTTGCGCATAATGGAGCGCCCGAAGAAAAAGTTGGCGCAAAGCCAAAGGGGGGAGCCGCGCCTTATTAGTATGGAGAGGCACCAATGGTTGACACGTTTAAAAGCCTTAGACAGGTCAACTAAGATTGTTGTTCGAGGCTGGGGGTGATCGAGGGCATCCTGTATGTTCATGACAGCAGCCTGTGGCTCACAAAATGCATTAAGCATTGTCTGGGCAGGACGCAATGCCTGCAAGCAGCAGCAATGGCACCGTCAGGTCAGGGCGCCTAAAGGTGGAAGGCATGCCCAAAGGTCTATAGGGACCAGGCTTAGCTCTTGGAATCCAAACACCTACCTGCATAGGGGGGGGGACAGCACGATACAAAACTAATTCTAAATGTTGCGCCATCGCTGCTGCACTGTCGGCAGGAAAAGGCGCAAGGAATACCATCGGGTCCAGGGGCAGAGTCTTTAGTGTTAAGGAGAACACCAGCAAGAAGACGGGTGTCGGGCCACTTGACAACTGGCCAAGGGCCAACATGGACGTGTCGTGAAAGAATGTCGTCCCATAACAGGTCCCACGAAGGGGCTCCTCGGTCCAGAATGTTCTGGTAGCCATCATCGCCTTGTCGACATTAGAATTTGTACGACAGAGTTGGCCAGTATGTAAGAGGATAGGCCCTGTGTAGGACGAAGTTTTCGGACATACCGCTCGCATCCGATCCGAGAAGCGCTTCTTATGGTCATGTTGCATACGAAATTCATCGATTTCAAGACCAGCAACAACAGGCGTAGCGCGGGAGAGGTTTTTTTTCCCGAAAGCATGGCGAAGGGTTCTTCCGCTGGGTTCACTTGAGTTGTTCTCATGAGAGTCATTACAAGGTGTCATTGCAAGGAATCATCATCATAAAAGTCATTGCAAGGAGTCATTGCAAGGAGTCATTGCAAGGAGTCATTGCAAGGAGTCATTGCAAGGAGTCATTGCAAGGAGTCATGGCAAGGAGTCATTGCAAGGAGTCATTGCAAGGAGTCGTGGCAAGGAGTCATTGCAAGGAGTCATTGCAAGGAGTCATTGCAAGGAGTCATTGCAAGGAGTCATTGCAAGGAGTCATTGCAAGGAGTCATTGCAAGGAGTCATTGCAAGGAGTCATTGCAAGGAGTCATTACAAGGAGTCACTGCAAGGAGTCATTGCAAGGAGTCATTGCAAGGAGTCATTGCAAGGAGTCATTGCAAGGAGTCATTGCAAGGAGTCATTGCAAGGAGTCATTGCAAAGAGTCATTGCAAAGAGTCATTGCAAGGAGTCATTGCAAGGAGTCATTGCAAGGAGTCATTGCAAGGAGTCATTGCAAGGAGTCATTCTGAGTCATTACAAGGAGTCGTGGCAAGTCGTAGGAGATGTTACGAACTTACGCATGGAATCAAATTAGATTTGCAAATTACAAGGAGTCAAGTGGAATTTACCAAGTGGAAGAGATCAGTGCAGATTTGCCAGTGCATGGAACCAAATTACAAATTTGCAAATTGTAAGTCAAGTGCAATTTGCAAGTGCAAGGAGTCAAGTGCAATTGACTTGCGAGGAGTTAAAATCTCTTCTTAGGGCGGCGGGGTAGTGCCGACGACACTACACGAAAATCGACCCTCTGCGGGGATCAGCGTGGTCGAGGTGCAAAAACCGTGTTGCACACGTTTCTGCGGTGCTCGCGCAACCCTCTCTTCCCGGGGATCAGCGTGGTCAGGGTGCAAACCCATCGTTTTCGTTTCCAACGTACCCACGCGTGACCCTCTTGCGGGATCGGCGTGGTCAGTGCAAAAACCCATGGTTTGCAGTTTCCATCGTACCCGCGACCTCTTGCAGGGATCAGCGTGGTCGAGATGCAAAAAACCATGGTTTCACGTTTCAACATCTGCCGCGACCACTCTGCGAGATCAGCGTGATCGAAATTCACAAAACCAACGGTTTTCACGTTTCTTGTCTGCCTAACCCTCTTGCAGGGATCAGCGGCGTAGTCAGGGTGCAAAACTCCAGGGTTTTACGTTTTCTCCACAACGCTCCAGCATAACCCACTCTTGAGAT